CTACAGGCATGCGCCACCATGCCCGGCTAATTTTTTATATATATATTAGTTGGCCAATTACTTTCTTTCTATTTATAGTAGAGACGGAGTCTCGCTTTTGTTCAGGCTGGTTTCGAACTCCTGACCTCGAGCAATCCGCCAGCCTCGGCCTCCCAGAGAGCTAGGATTACAGGCGTGAGCCACCGCGCCCGGCCTCGCATATGTACTTTTAAATGTTCTAATAGCCACATTTAAAAAGTGAAAGGAAACTGTGAAATTAATTCAAATAATGTTTTTTAACTTAACCCAACACATCTAAAATATTATCATTTCAGTATGTGGCACTAGCCACATTCCAAGTGCCCAGTAGCCACATGTGACAAGTGGCTTCCATTTTGGGCCAACACAAATCTGAACTGGGCTGGCAGTGGTGGCTCATACCTGTAATCCTAGCACTCTGGGAGGCTGAGGAGGGAGGATCACTTTTGGGCTCAGGAGTTCAAGACCAGCCTGAGCAAGAGCGAGACTCTGTCTCTACTAAAAATAGAAAAATTAGCCAGGTGTGGTGGCATGCACCTGTAGTCCCAGCTACTTGGGAGGCTGAGGCAGGAGGATCCCTTGAGCCCAGGAGTGTGAGGCTGCAGTGAGCTATGATCATGCCACTGCACTATAGCTGGGACAACAGAGCAAGACCCTGTCTCAACAAAACAAAAACCCCAAACCAAATCTGGACTGAGAAGCCCACAGGGTAGGGCTTCTGCCCCTGTGACAGTGGGAAGGGGCCTCTGGAGGCAGAGGGCAAAGCGAGCCCCTGAGAAATGCAAGGCCAGAGTTTTCCAGCGGTGATGGCCTCCCCAAGAGAACATGCCTCTTGCAAAAGCATCTGCTTCCTCCCTCTCCAGGAGAGGAGAAGAGGAAACACGGGAAGAAGTGCCTGGTGCAGAGCCCCCATTCCTACTGCTCGGACGTGAAACACCTGAGATGCTATAAAATCACCACGCTGTTTGGCAATGCACAAACAGTAGTTTTGTGTGTTGGTTGCTCTGCTGTCCTCTGCCAGCCTGGAGAAGGAAAAGCAAGCCTTGCAGAAGGATGTTCCTTCAGAAGGAAGCAGCTCTAAAAGTCCCCTGCTTGAATGAATGGGAAACCATTCCTATAAACATTTTGGATTAAAAAAAATCAAGGCAGAGCACCTCTTCTCGGGGAGGCAATATTGTGCCTCTAAGTGACTACACTGCCCTAGCAGCGGGTCTCTGGAGGAGGCAGACTAATAGCAGTGGTCTTCCCTCAGTAGGTCCACCTGAGGTCCCCAGTTAGCCCAGGCAGGACTTGGGGCTGGGTAGACACTGAGCTCATCTTTCAGGCATCCCCTGGCACCTGGAGCAGCTGATGTGGAGGGAAGAGTCTGGCAGCTGGACTTGGACATTTTTCATTCCTGGTGCCTCTGTTCTGGCTGTAGGATCTAAGGCCAGGCCCCTCTCTGGGCCACACCATCTCTCAACTGGAAATGGTGTGATGAACCCACTTCAATGGCAGTGGAAAGGTTTCGTACACAAAGAATGCATGTTTATGAACCATGACGTGTGTAAGGAAAAGGGAAAGAGAGAGGGAAGGAGGGGGTCCTCTTCTAAGTTCACCTCTTCCTTGGGTAGCTGTTGCTGTCTTTTTCCCAGGGTGTGCAGGGGCCACCCAACTTCTAAGGGAAGCAGGAGTTGAGAGAGCTGGAGAGAGAGAGTAGGAGGGGAGGCCCAGGAAGGGTGTGATTCTCCAAGAGCCACACAGCAAACCCAGAAGTGGTCAGGCTGGAGCACCCTGGTTTGGGTCCAGTGCTATTTCAGGGCAATGTGAAGGATGCCCGGTGCTGGCAGGGAGGCAGCCCTTCCAGGTCTTCTCTGACATCTGCTGATCTGGGAGCCAGAGGAAGGGGCCTCGAAGCCTGGAGGTCTCACACCTGGCTGACCTTGTGCCGAATGGCCACAATTCCTAATTCCCCACTGGTCTTCCCTGTTCTGCCAGGGGATGGGAGTGGGGAGAGACACCAGGCTAGTCAGGACCAAGAACCCCCAGCCCGCCCTTTCTGTCCTCAGAGCCACTGTGAGCCCTCAGCTATATCTTTTGCAGGCTCTGCAGCTCAGGAGTAGATGTGGGATTTCAGGCGATCTAAACCCTAGGAGCTCCAGCAAGTAGGCTTCAGGTCTGTGACCACCCTGCCTGTCCCCCATCACCAAGACAAAATCTTGTAGGGGTGCACATTTTTTAAGCTAAGGGTCTAAGCTCTTGTTAAGGCTTAGAAGGATCTGTGATCCCCTGCAAGGGTTGGAACCACTGCTCTAGACACACACAGACACACACTCTCCTATAGACAACGTACACACATGAGTACACTGCACAGGCCCACATACACACACATACACAAACACTCTCTTGTTTCAGGTCTCTTCTACCTTGGTTCCATCCTACATAGAACGGCGTCCACAGCGAGCCTCTCTGCACAATTGCTAAAACTTATTCTTCCTGGTTAGAGACTTTCTGATTCCCAGTGGTGCCTGCCAAATTCATTTTCAAACTCCTTGGGCTGGCATTCCAAGAGCCCTTCACCATAAAGCCCTTTCTTCCTGACACAGACAGGAACCTCCTTTCCAGGCCAACCTGCCCTGCTAACGAGCCCCCACCTTTGCCTGAGCAGTTTCCTCCTCCTGCCAAGTTTTTCCTCCTCTCTATGTCCACTTCTACTTATCAACACCTCATCCATCCTACAAGGCCTGGCTCCAATGCTTCTTCTTCTATGAACCCTTTCCTGATCACCTAATCAGAAATGCCTGCCCTCCTCTGATCCACCTCTTTTAGCCCCTTGCATGTCCCAGGCCCTGGGTCCTTACCCCTCACAGTCTCAGACTGGGGGTCGCCCTACAGAAATGGTAAGCCCCTGGAGGTGTCTGTGAGTCCTCTCTGAGTCCATCTCCCACCAGCACACTTCCTGTCCTGCCTGCCCCCATCCCAAGGTAACACCAAGGTCAGATGTGAGAAAAAATAGATGAAACAACATTTTGCAAATCACAATGAAAACTCGGCTCAGGTGCTACCCTCCTCCCACTCTTCTTACTGGACTCCCGCCTGCCCTTGGCTCTGGTCCCTCCGGCCTTTCCCCACCTCCCAGTCCAGATGGCCAGAGCCTGAGGCTGTCCTGGAGAGACACTGTCTCCCCTTCTCTGAGTCAGGGTCTCTGCATTGCCAGCAGTCTCCCCCATCAGAAAGGGATCATCACTGGGAACGTGAGGACCTACCTTTTTTTGTCTGTTTTTTCCTTTTCCCATTCCATTCAATTAAGGATTTCAAACAGCTTTCAGAGACACACGTGACAAGATAAAAAATGAGAGAGGAAGCTGGAGGTGGGAGAGGGCCTGCTTCCTCCTCCCAGGCTCTGTCTCTGGCACCCTGCAAAGGGCACCTTTCAGGGAGGCCCATCGTGGGCCTTTGCCGGGCTCATTCATCCTCCTTTCCGGTGACCTCAGGTGCGGACTTGGCCAGCGCCATCCTCCCTTGCCGACCCGCCAGGCGGTGCTGCCAGCCCTGGCCGTGCCAGCCCCAGCTCACCGACAGCCCCTCGTGCACTGACTCTCTCCCGCTCCCACCCCCATCTGCAGCCTCGGCACATCCCAGCTGTCTGATTAACTCAATTGATTAATTAAGCTCTAATGAGAGCCGTGGCTCACCCCTGCGGCCGCTGACCAGGAGGCCAGCCGAGCCTGAAAGGGCACAGGGGCCACAGGCATGGTCTTCAGAGGGCCGAGGGCAGGAAGGCCTATGTGGGGTAGGGGAGGCACAAAGATCACCCTTGGCTAGGTCTCCATGCGGTGGTTCTGCGGGCTTTGGAGGGGACTGCTCCCTCAGCCACGCAGCTCCAGGAGGGCACATCTGGCACCGACCCTGCTGAAGGCAGGGAGGGCAGAGCCAATATCGACTGGCCGAGAGGTGCAAGGAGGGGACTAGATTCCCTCAGAGTCCCACCTTGACTCCCAGGGCCTGGAGGGCTCAAGGCCCAAAGGGTAGTGGAGGTGTGGAAGCTGGACACTGGCCAAAGGGGCCAGACTGAGCCCTGCCAGCAGCTGCCAGCTCCTCGGTTTCTTCCACCCCCACAACTCCCAGCCGTGTGGTCAGACAATTCCCTCACTGGGCTCTGCAAAACAAGTCCCAAATTCCAGCTCTTCCTTATTCGAGCCTCCCTCACCAACCCTGACCTCTGACCCACCCCTCCTCCAGACTCTGTCCCTTGTCTGGTATGGGGGACAAATGCTCTCCATTAACAAGCATCAGTTGAGTGGAATTTTCCATCTCACAAAGTAGCTCTGTGTCTCTTCCTCCATAGAATCCAGAGAGGCAAGACAGCAGCACAGGGAGACAATCTAGAGACCAGGAGATTGCGCCTCGACTTGCCTGAGATCACACCTGGCTCTTTCCTGCTCCCAGCCTTTGCACTCATCTGGGGAAAACACACCCCTCTGCAGCTTTGACGCCCCAGCTTAGAGGTCGCTTCAGCTAGGAAGGTCCCTCTCTGCTCAGCGGCAGGCGAGGCCCCCAGATTGCGTTGTGGTTGTTCCCCTACTCATGCCAGCACCCTGCTCGGGACCTCGTGTGCAGTAAGGACATGATGAGGATTTACTGAGTGAAAAAAGAAAGGAAAGAGGGAAGACATGAATGAATCACCACAAGTGGCAGATATTCTGAGCCTCGGTCTAGTGCTGGGAGGACGGACGGACGTGGTGGAGGACCCGGCAGGGCCGCCCAGTCTAGGCTCGTCAGCTGTTGATGTGCCAGGAACCACTACACGTGTGGCCCGTTGGTCCAGGGAATCCCTTCCCCTCCACTCTGCAGAGAGGCTGTGGTGGGACCAGGCAGGGAATCGTGGGAGATGGAGGTTTCGTGGAGCTGGGGGTGGGGGGAAGGAAGGGGGAGAGGGTGCAGGTCTGGGGCTTTAGGGCTTCCTTCAGGGACACAGGAAACCTGGGTGGAAAGTCAGAGACCTGGGTTGGAGTCAGAGACCCGGCTTTCTTGACCTGTGGGCATGTGGCCTCCCCAGTCTGGCCTGTGACTTGAGAAGGTCTGATGGCGTGGGCTCTGGCCTGCTGTCCTCTCGTGGTCTGTGAGTCCTGCAGCTCCAGAGACATCTGTGACCAGAAGAAGGGTGTGAGGTGGTGACGGGCAGTAGGAGGGGGGTTGCAACACTGCCTACTCCCGGCATTGGGAGGGGTGGTCACAGCCAGGAGTCTCTGAGCCCCACGGAGAGCCCCCGCCACTCTCCCCAGATCCTCGGCTGCCTGTCGCTGCCCCTCAGATTCAATTACCAGCTCGGCTTTCAAATCGGGCTCCAGCCAGTAACTTTACTGGAGAAAATGATTATGTGATTATTTCAACCTTGCTCCAAACACTGTTTTAATTGGATCTGGGAAAAGGTGATTTGGGCATCGGAAGGGGCCTTGCGGGGGTGGGAATGGCATGGGAATATGAGGCAGGGCCCACCAATGGGGCTGCCCCTGAGCTCCCCTCCCTGAACGCCCCCCACATGTTCATCCTGGATCCAGAGTGAGCCTCAGCAGGAAAGAGAAAACTGGTGGGGAGGGGGCTTCCCAGGCAAGTGGTTTGGGGGGGGGGCTGGAGGGGTCCAGCAGCCTGCCTGTCTTTGGCCCCAAAGCAGCCCTCGAGAAAATGACTTTTCTGCCCATCTCCCTTCTCTGCCCCCAGCCCCAGCCCCCTAGAACAAACTTTTGCTCAAACGCTAGCCTGAGGAAGCAGGGTTGCAAAGAACATCTGATTTTCCAGAATCCAGCAGAGCCTTTGAGAAGGATTTGGGATTATCTGCTCCAGGGATCACCCTGCCAGCTTTCTCCCTATTAGAGAGATCACTGGAGTTTGACCACAAGCTAACCCTTCTGAGCCTCAATTTCCCCATCTGTCAAAGAGAGGGTTGGTCCTAGGTGACCCCCAGGACCCCTCCCCACAATGAAGGAAGCCACTGAGCTGACTCTCCGTGCGTCCTGGCTCTCCACAGGGCTGGAGGAGTCGGCACCAACTCCTTGGCGCCCAGTTCTGTGGGGGCTGTGGGCTCCGAGCCTTGTAGAGCCCGTCTGCCCACAGCTAAGGGTGCCCCTCCCTGCCCCTGTGTCAGAGCTCAGCCAAATGCCAGGCACAGAGAGTGGGACTGGGACTGAGGAGGAGGGCAGGGGCGGGTGTGCCCCGAAGGCTGAGGGGCCAGGCGGAAGGGCACGTGAAAGGCCCTACCTTTGACTCCATCTCCATCATCTCAAAGCCTGGTTTCTCCGGGCTCTCCCTAACTCCTTTTCTCATCGCCTTAACAAACACGTCAATGCCTTTTAAAAAATTGCTTAAAAGGTGCCATTTTGAAGAATGTGCTCTGGGGAGCTACTCACAGCAGGAATGAATGTGTCTCCCTCATCCCCCTCGTGCTCCAAGACATGGGCACTGGGACCCCAGGGAGGACTGGCCAGGCCTCAGCAGACCCCAGTGTCTGCAAGCATTTCCAAGGCATGTGCTAGATGTGGGTGGAGGGACAGTGAGGCCATCGCAAAGGGAATAGAAGGTGTTGGTCAAGTTCATTCGCCAGCTACAGAGCACCTGCTGGGTGCCAGGCACAGAGCCAGTCCCACCTCAAAGAGAATGACAATCTGGTCTGGGAGACAGGAATAACCTAGGTTTTCCCAGGAATAACCTAGAACTCTGAGACTTAGCAGAAGAGATGGTTCAGAAATGGGGCCCCAGGGCCCTCAGGAGCCAGTCAGTCTCAACAGAACACACAGCCCAGGCAGACTTCCTGGAGGAGCCAGCTTGGCAGAGGGGAACTTGGTGGACATTCTGAAGGACCAAACAGCAGAGATGCACAGGGAAAAGACAGAGGGAGGGAAGAGAGAGGAAGCCATTATATGTTTGCATTTTTGTGCCTCGCAATATTCTCTAAAGGGGGCAGGGGGAAGAATTATAATTTCCATTTTATGGACTAGAGTTCTTAGGCGAAGACAGGTTCAGAAACTTGTCAGGGTCACACACAGCCAGCCAGCAGTGACTGCAAACAAAGTCTGCCTGTACCCTGGCCCTGTCCTTTCCCAGACTTCACCTTGACTCTCCCTGGACCAGCCGGCCTCATGCTGAGGGCACCAGCAGGCAGAAGGCAAGGGCTTGGTTGAGACTGAGGACACCAGTTCCCGGGAATTTCTGGGATCCACAAATAAGACCTGAGACAAACAGGACCCCAGCCCTCGGGGGAGTGCCTGCCTGGAGACGGAGGCTTCAAAGGCCCGGATCACAGGGGAAAATTATATTGTCAAAGAAGAAAACCAGTGCTGCCATGCCTCCTTCACTCATTAATTTCTGGGGACGTATTAGCTGTCAGCAAGCAGCAGCCCTCCAATTCAAATTACAGAATTTGAATTCTTAATTTCTCCTAATCCATCAGTGAGCTGCCTTCCCAGGCTAATATTAGCAGCGCTGGTGAGGCTTGTAGAAGAGTCATCGATGTCTCCCGCCCTCTGAAAGGAACCCTAATCAATAGGGCGTGGGCCCCTCGGAGGCAGGGACCTCTTCCCACTTCCCAGCTGCCCCAGTTCCTGGGAGAGAGTGCAGAGTTTGACAGAAGTCCCTGGAGAACCGAACAGCAGGAGACAAGAAAGAGCAAAGGAGAGGTGAGCAAGGTGGAATCAGAGCCTGGGAGAGGCCGGGAACAAAGAAGGGAGGGAGGGAGAGGCCCAGAGAAAGATGAAATTAGTGTGACCAAGAGAGGTGGCAGGCAGACAGTGACAGAGACTGAGCCAGAGGCCCAAAGAGATGGATGGAGACTGAGCTGGAGAGGAGGGAAGGAGCCTTCCAGAACCCAGAGTCAAACTGCCCCACGTGCTGACTTTGTGCAGGGAGAAAAGACAGCAAAGCAACCGAAAACCCCATGGGAGTCCCACGGTGTCACAGGAGTGTGGTGGTCCATGGAAAACGTGGCCCCCACACCATTGGGCCCTCGTGGCCACTGTGCCTGTAGGTGTCCTGGAGTCAGGCACCTTGTCCCAAGTTACAGCTTGAAGGCCTCCTCCACCAGGAAGCCCTCTTGCTTTCTCTACAGCGGCACCATTTCTGTACCCTCAGGCTGTGACACGCTCCTAGTCAGCAACCTGGATCCTGATGACACCATGCAGCTGCTTCTTTCTCCACACGGTGGGAAGAACACGGGAGCTGAGGCTATAGGGACAGCGGCTAGGCCAAGCACCAAACGTGCTTTTCTTATTTAATCTCTTCAACAAGGCCAAGAGGTAGAGACGGTTATTGCCTCTCTATTGAACAGGTGAGGAAACAGGTATAGAGTTAAGTCACTTGCCCAAGGTCATGGAGCAATGACATAGGGATGTTGGGTTTTGGACCCAAGTAGGCTGACCCCAATGCAAAGTGCTTACCACCATGTCAGAGAATCTTGGGGGAAACCTCAGGTATGTAATAGCTGTAAATGGCACAGCCCCTGTCCTTGTTGAACTCCCAGAGGTTGAAGGACATGCCAGACCAGCCCATGACTTCCTCATATGCCAGTTCCATCAGCCAGTATTCTCACTGACGTTCAGAAAGCCTTGGCCTTTCAGCCCCCTTGGCCTTTCTGCCTGCCTTCCCATCTCCCTGAACCTGACTGTTCACCTAGGCAGGCCCAGTTCAAGTCAGGCCTTCAGCCAGGAGCCTTCCACTACCGCATCCCTGAGCCCCTATGGCCCATCCCTCCCTGGCCCGGTCCTTGTCCTTTCTGTGAATATCCTGCCTCTTCAGCAAGTTGTGAGCCTCTCTGTGCACAGCCAGGTGCCCTCCGATGTCCTAGGACCTAGCTTTGCCCAACGCGTGTGCTCAGTAAATATTTGTGGACTTATCAACTGATTGATTGGTAAAGTGAAGACAAGAGACCTGACACAAAGATGTCTGAGAACTGAGCAGTGTCCCTCTCGGCCTGGGCTCTAGGGAAGTGTCAGGGAGCTAGACATATGCAGGTGGGACTCCAGGGCCCAGCAGGTGTGAATGGCCAGGTGTGGGCAGTGCCGCACTCTCAGCTATCCTCAGGTGACCCTGTCTCCCCAGGGTGGGAGGATTTGGGGACCTGAGTGGGGAAGGGAGAATTGGGGCAGGGAGCACTGCAGTTGCTCTGGAAGCTCTCCTGGCCCCCAGGCTCTGCCCAGGCACCCAGGGTGGGAGGCTGATTCTAGGGTCTTCACCTAGGTTGAGGTGTCTGTCCCCACTCCCTTTGCTGCTCCTGCTCTTTCCCCCACCCACCCACTCCTACCCGAGAAGCTGGGCCTGAATAGAACTATTTTGGGCCAAACCTCTGAATTATGCATGGTCTGGATTATGCAGTGAGCCTGCCACTCCTGACCAGTGGCAATGGGGGTTGGGGAGTAGAGTGACCGCTGTATTCCACCTTCGGCGTAAGGATCTGAGTTTGTGCAGGTGGCCGTGGAGTGTGATGGGGTGGCATGCATGTGCTTGTGTGGATTTTGTGCCTGAGGGATTGTGGGTGTGCACGAACAACTATGGGTCCACAGGTAGGAGTTGTGGGGTCCTGGAAACACCCCCTCTCTCTGAGGTTCCAGGATGGTGGGCCCCTGGGCCACAGCTTCATGAGGGATAGTGACACAGGTCATTGTGCCCCATTCTGCCCCTGCCTTGGCTGCCCGTGGGATCCTCAGAAGTCAAATGGACAGAAAAGACACATCACCCTATCAGAGCCAGCTCCAGGAAAAGTGAAAGAGAGGCCATTAAGGGCCTGACAATAATGGCAGTAATTGGCCACTGCGAGTTGAGTACCTCTTCTGGGTCCAGGCCCTTTACATACATTGAGTTAAATGTTACAACACCTCTAGATGGCAGGAACTTTTAGCCCCATTTTACTGATGAGGAAACTAAGGGTCAGAAAGACTAAATAACTTGCTTAAGACTGCAAAACATGGAACTAGCAGAATCAAGATTTAAATGGCTAAGGAAATACTAAGGCAAGCCATAGCCTGGGAGAAAATGTTTCCAATACATAAATCTGACAAAGAACTTGTCTCCAGTGAACTCTTACAACTCAATAATAAGAAGGCAAACAACCCCATTAGAAAGCAACCAAAGAAGTTACAGAATGGCCAATATGTGCATG